CTCTGCCACTTACTGTGTAGCCTGGGACAATTTGCCAAACTCCTTCATGCCTTTGTTTTCTCATCTATAAGATAGGATTGATAATAGAACTACTTCACAGAACTATTTTGGTAAATAAAATAATGTATCTAAAGTATATATTATCTACTCAATATGATTTAAAAATTAACAAAGATGCTTGAGTATCATGATTGCTTATTCTGTCTGACAAGGGAGGTATTTGCTTAGATGAACGTTTGTAACAAATATGGAATCTTCTTTTGGATGAAAGTCATTCTTTAATGATTATTTTTATTTTACATGTTGGCGGACACAACATCTTTGTTGGTATGTGGTGCTGAGGATCGAACCCGGGCCGCACGCATGCCAGGCAAGCGCGCTACCGCTTGAGCCACATCCCCAGCCCCCGAAAGTCATTCTTTATGGGATATTATTTTATTATGTATAACTCATGTGAAGTAAACAATGTAAATGTCATTGATTTTAATGAAACTGCATGGTTTGATGTAATATAACATTTTGCATAAAAAAAACATTTCACATACTAAGTAGTAATGGGTGCAATGGAATATCATTTGGTATAAAGTTTCAGCATATGATATTTTCATAATATATTTCTAAGAATGCATTATCATCTGGTATAAAATAAATCAGACATAACAGATCAAAAATGAAAAACTATAGCCTATTAACAACCATATAACATATTTTACCACTGAATAATACATCATTTTAATGTCTTAACATCACTATTCATAGGGTGCTGCAATGACCACATCCTTTATTGATCTTGTTTTATGTTGATTGTATAGAGTAACTCAACTATTCTACCTCCTACCTGCATAAGAACTTATTTACCATTCTGAAGCTTTGGCATAATATTTTTCTTGGACCCAATATTACAAAATTAATTTATATGTGCTTCCATCTTATAATAATGCCTGGGCTCTATAAACCTCTTGAGGTTTCAAGCAAAGCTGGCTGGTATTTAATACTATTTATTATAAACGGCACATTTCCTGGTGGTTTCTAATTTCATTTTGTATTAAAATCTGTTTGTTGTAATTGCCGTCATTCTCTCCTTGTTTTCCTCTAATTATTCTGACTAGAAAAAATTCTCAATTATTCAAGGACTGCATATTTAATCTTTGGATTTCCCAAATCCTCTTTTTTACAATTCTCTTACTGTACATTCCTAACCATTTAAATGTTTCCTATTTTTATAGTTCCCCCAAATGATAAATATTGTAGAATGAAAAGTACACAGTAAAATAAGCAGTGTGGGGTCTGAGGATGTGGCTCAGTGGTAGCCTGCTTGCCTGGCATGCATGAGGCCCTGGGTTCAAACCCCTATGACAAAAATTAAAAGACAAATAAGCAGTTTGCTACTTTTACAAAAAGTCCTGGTAAAAAGTCTGATACTAATGAAAGCATAAAATAAAAATGTTAACCACTTGTGGATCTCAATCTTTTTCCATCATCATATATAAGGTCAAAATTCCTTACTTTATTCTTATAATGATTTAAATACAATAATATATGATTATCTTAACATATAAAATAAGTAATATATAATAGTGTTAAAAAGAGCAAAGCTGCAAGTATTTATTTAAAAAGATCTAACAGTCTAGTAGTCACATCACTCCACACCACCCATTACCAAATTATGTATAGCTTGAAATAATATGTGTGGGAAGATTTTTTGTTCCCTAATTTGAGAGGATTAAATAGTTCTTAAATACACAAATCCTCAAATAGGTTTAGGAATTTTTAGGAATTAAGCTGAAAAGAAAAAGTCAAACATCAAAATAAACAGCAGTTGCCAGGCTCAGTGGTATGTGCCTATAATCTCTCCTGGGGAGGCGGAGGCAGGAAAATGTGTGTTTTGAGGCCAATGTCAGCAACTTATGAGATCCTGTCTCAAAAAAAAAAAAAAAAAATTCTGGGGACATAGTGTAGTGGTCGAGTGGCCCTGGGTTCAATCCCTAGTACAACAACAACAACAAAAAAACAAACCAAAAGACAAAAAATAAGCAGTAGTTTGCCATCAATCACAATACTTACTTTTGTTATAAGCCCACAATTTCAGGGAAAAAAATGAAAACTTACTCTAAGGAAATTGTGATGAGTAGAATATACAAATCAGGATCCAAATCATTTATTTGCTTATTTCACTATAGGTTTCTATGTCTCCAAGAGGTTTTTATGCTGTCCAGTGACTTTGGAAAAACAGCTATTGTCCCCATTCCCATCTATCCAACAAACACCTAAACTCAAGTAGCTGTATTCAACCATTTTCCTTCCACTCTACACAGGTCAGTATTTTCATTCCTCAAACTTTCTATATATGTTCCTTGTGACTAAAACTATAAAGTATATAAATTTATACTTAAGTATAGTTATAGCCACATGTGACTCTCCATTCTACATCCCTTCAAAATTTGCACTGAAAGATCTATAAACCCAATGGAATTTTAAATTAATTTTTGAAAATCGAACAAAAGACAAAGTGTTCTGCTTCAATGAATGCTTCTGTAAATCAAATGAATTTGAATTCAACTGGTATGTAGGGAAATAATGCCAGTGTAAGTGGAAGTCATCTGATTTATATGCCTTCAGTGTCATCATTATTACTTAGCACCCCCTGGTAACTGCTACTGAACACAAAGCACAAGGTGTAGTTCAATACAGTGAGCTAAGAAGAATATATCACGCACTAGGTTCTTCCAGCTGGCTCTGACCATATTCTCTTTATCTTAGAAATATTTATTGAGCCTTTTCCCATCTTTGTGGGTTTTGTTTGTGAAGTTCTTTCTTGTTTCCTTCCATTGAGCTATCCTTACTTATATTTACTTTAGAATTTATTAGGAATTAACTGCTACTACTTTTATTATAAATAGTACCATATTAGTACTCTTAGTTACAAAGCTTTATAGGTTTTGGTGGATCACCCATCTTATGTTTCTCATCACTTTGTTATTTTTAGCCAACAATTTTTCAGAATGTGAAAGTTTTTCACAAACACATATCTCACTTCATTAGTGGAGTGCCTGCAAAGATTTTTAAAAGTACAGAGATCATTTCCTTCTGACTGCCTTTCCTTCTCTATTTTCTTCCTTTTTTTTGTACTTGAAGGAGCATACTGAAAAGATATCAGCACCCCACCACAGTTCCCTGTATTGTACATGTCTGCTGTGTTTAAAGCTACTCAATCAACTGAAATCTTCACCAGTCTTCCCCTACTACTTCTATTATCAACAACGATGAATTTAATTATCAAAGATGCCAAAGGAGCACAATTTCACTGCTACTGGTCATGTCCTGATTTTTTATTAAAATCCTCTTAATATTTAATCAGGCCCAAGATTTTTGTTTCTTTTCCTGCAAATATGTACAATATTTTGACAAATAGTCTAATTATGCCATATACCACCTTATCGTTACCATAACTATTTTGACACATTTTTGAAAAAGGTTTAGAAACCTATAATTCTTCTTACTAGTGTGTTTAAGATTTAATCAAGACTTGTCCTAGGCTTTGAAAGAGCTTTATTCACGATTTTATTCGAGGTTCTCTACATGTCTGAGTTTTCATATACTCCGAAATTTTGATTCTACAAAATGAGAATTCTGTAAAGTTGGCTAAAAGTATGGGAATCAAATCAGCTGTTCAACCCAATGAAAAATCTGAGACAAACACATTTTGTAGGAAATTACAGGGACATATATCTGAGTTCTCGGGTCCTTTCTCTAACCTCCTCACCCTCAGGCCTCTTGTAGGTATTTCAAGTAGGAAAACATTTTAATGTCAAAAAAATTTAGAAGAGAAAAAGGTTACATAAATACCAACAAAACATATATGATGTATTACAAGTGTGAGAGGAAAAATCAGAGAAAAAATTAGAGTGTGGAAGGGAGCCAGATGCAAAGATTAAAAAAAAAAAAATAGGACAAGTGAGGCATAAAATTGGCTCAGCCTTCTAGCAGCCATTGTGGAGGGTCATCTAACCAATATGCTATGTCTTTTATGAAACAAACCAGTTATTCAGAGGATATAGACTTGTTTCTGGAATTAATGTCAGAGAGGATTTTTTCCTGAGGATTTCATTATGTATCTGAGAGTATAAGCTATATTTTTGCTGCCTTTCCAATCTTGCTTCAACAGAGATAAGGTTTAGTTGAATGAAACTTTTCCAGACTCAACAATGCATGTAAATTATTGATGTTGTTAATTAAGTTCCCTACCATATTATAGTCAAGTAGAATTTACTTATCTTAGAATTTATATTGCTGGTTTATTGGATCAATGAATAAATCAATGCATCAAAAGATGCACATGTAAGAATGGGATATCTTTGTTATTTAGTGCCCCCTAGACCAATCCCTCAGCCACATTAGGTAGTGTGAAGTATGAAGATAACAATAGGGCTGACCATAAGCAAAATGTTAGTTGTTTGCTGAAATGCTTTTCACATTTTTACCTTCTTGACTCTTGGCCATTTTCAGCATCACTTTCAAACTCATCTGGTTCTTTTCTCTCTGGTACCAAGGACCAAGGACAAATGGCCTCACAGTGTTGAGGATTCAGTTTTCTGGGGGCCTCAGGATATGTATCACATTTGATTAGCTGTTAAAGAATGGGCATTGGGAGTGTTTAATGAGTGCTTAGTATTTGTCAAACTTTGAGACCCTAATCTTAAAGGSGGTGGTTTTTCAAGGCCTAAGAGCTCTCCAGTGAGATTTCCAAGGGCTAAGGAGTTTTCCCTTTCTTGGTCATAAAAGGATAAAAATAGTTGTTACCTACTCAGGAGGTATGTACTTTTATGTTTTTGACTGAAGCATGCAGGATTGATATAATCAAAAAGTGAATTTTTGAGGTTAGGAGGACTTAAGTATCAGACATGCAACCTTATGCAAATCCTTCAATATCTGTATAAATCTGTATGAGAAAGGAAGATAATTATCTGTCCTTCCTAACACCAAGACCAACCCAGTCCTTAGCCTGTTGTTTATTATACTTAGTAGTTTATCTTATAAAAGTATGTATCTGAAGGCAGAATCTGTTCTATTGGTTTGTATCCTACATGGTTATAACAATGACTATTACTTCATACAATCAATAAAATATTCATTGGTCCAATGAAATAATGAAAATATTTGGGACATTTCATAGGGTTAAATAAATGTAAGTTGTTTGAGGGAAACAAGTATAACTTTACCATATTTTTCTTTGGGCCTAGGAGTTCTTGCTTGGGGCCCTAATGGCCCCAAACAATCAGTACCAGTCCACAAGAGAGGACAATGCCTGTATACTGATATATATTAGACTTGCATCCTTTAGGTCTTGGTTTTCCTTTGGATCATTTGGTGTCCAGGGTCATACATTGCTCTTCATGTATAGCCATGATGATACCATCACACGATACCTGGAAAAACAAACCAAAATGYTGAATATTTATTCTGTAGCAAAATTTGTATGTATCTAACAGCTCCAGATTTGCATGAATTTTATGTATTCACAAGATTGAGAGGGTGCTGAGAACTTTTTACATATCAGGCATTATGTGTTTACCTGAATTAACCATTATACTCTCACATTTCTATGAAGTAGGTACTATTGTTATCTTCCTTTTGCCTCACAGCTTTGAAGGGAAAAATGAGAGGTTAAAATAATTTGTCCAAGGAAACTATGGTGAGGCCTAGGTGCAGGCATGGACTGTCTGGCTCCCTAGGCTAACCTCTTAACTTTTATACTATGCTGTTTCTTGATTGCCTGTTTTTATAATTCATTTTTCTTTGGAGAAAGAGTAACATGAATTTTGAAACTTACTTTGATTAATTATGACATATCCACCTTCACACCTATAGTTTCCCAAGTTTTAACAGGAATTTTCTTTGTGTGCTTATATTGGTTAATGAGAAATCTATAATGTATGTGAAATATGGAATTCTGAAGAATGCTTTCTTTTGGCCACATAGTACAGAGATTGTTATAAAAAGTTTAAACAAACAAAACCACTAGAAATCTACTCAAACCACACATTAAAACTCTAAGTAAATATTTGATTTTAAGTATATAGATGGCTCCAAAATAAGGAGCTCTTACCTCTAACTTAAACCAAACCTAGCTTCCTACAAGGTAGCATTTTTAGAATAATGGTATTAAAACGGTGACATTGTAACTGTACTGCTTGTTGTTTAATTATTTTGTAAAATTGATGACTTTGTACATGTATGTTTTCCTTCCTTCAAAATGGAAGATTAAATGGATCATGTATAACAATATCAAATTAAAAATTAGTTAGACTTAAATACTTTAATATGCAATGAATAAAAGAGCAGAAAATGCAAGTTACAAATAAAATGCTAGAGTACTTAAGAACACAATTTCCACTTTTTCTATTAGCACGTAAAAGCTACTAATATGCAAAAACCATACCTTTAGTCCTTTGAATTGCCCTGAAGCTGTGTTCTGAAGGGTTTGTAACACTTAAGAACTAATATTAAAAAGGCAAAAAGCATTATAACTCATGAACAACACACAAAACTTACTTAATCTGTAAAAATATTAGGAATGCAAATGTTTTATTTGCCATAGAGATAAAGAGGGAAACATCAGTGGAATGAATTTGACATGACTCACACTTCATTACAAGCCATTTTCCCAAATTCACAATTTTCACATTTGGGTGATCTAAAAAAAAAAAAAAAAAAAGTTAAAAAAGAAAAGAAAGGAACTTTCACTAGATGTAAATAGGCCAAGTCATTTAATCCCTTCACATGTTTAAATTGACTACACTTTTCTCTAGCTGGGAATGTATTTTCCTTATTTTAGTGAGCTTAAATAATGTACACATGGTAATGAATAAGGCCTGGGTTTAGGTCCAGAAACCCTCTCTATCAGCCTGTTTCATAATTACCCCAATATTATGGAACATGAGACATTTTCTTGGTACAGTTTTAAAAGTAATAAGAATTTTAAAATCCATGCTACTTCGCAGTTTTTCAGACTTTTTTTTTCCTCTAAATGTTGTATTTTGAATTTCTTAGGAATGCTATGTAATTTATATAAAGTCCCATTTCCATGTGTTCATAAACTTTAGCACTCAATAGAAGTAGTAGGAACTGGGCTATTTAAACTACTTCCTCTTCTCCACCCTTTAATTACCAATAGTGAGGTTTATTTAGAAAACAACGAGGAACAAGTACCATAGCCTACAGGCATCTAAGAATGGGGGGGGGGGGATTCAGACAAAGAAAATAAGGCTCTGGAGAGGTTAAGTCATAGTGGAAATTTCTGGAGTGGAACTTAACTCCTATACCCTCTTCCCAGCTGCAGACTTTATCTAAGTGTGAGGTGTTTGGTTTGTGCATGGACCCATTATAAACTGACATTTTATCCGTCTTTTTTTTTTTTCCCCCCGTGAAACAAAAGAAATGGAAATACAAGTGCTTGTTWCCACATGCTTTTAAGGCTTAAAAGCCTATCAATAAGCACGCTGTATCCATGGTTGGGGACATCGCTTTATAAATTGCCAGAAGAATCTCCTCAAACGGAGACTGAAGTCACTCTCCCTCCCCAAGAACCATGAGGGGAAAAGAGAGATAGTCCCCTACTTGCACATGGGATCTCCCTTTCTCCTCCGACCTCCCTATGCCTCTCCCAAACAGGCCAGGCTGCCTTAGGAGGTGGGGCTGGGAGAAAAGGCAATGCTCAGTCTTCCATGGCAAAGTCTTTGGTCTTTTCCTCCTGGTCCCCCACTTTGTAGCGCAGCAGAACGCGCAGGCGACGAGGGTTGTCCCGGGAGGGCAGCAGCGTGATCTCTCCTGAAACGTCCGTGTCTTGTTCCACTTGTACCGGCTCGTTTAGGTAGAGGAGTGCCTGCTTCCAGTGTGTGGCCGGATGAAAAGGCGAGGTGGACAGCACCAGGGGTTTCTCCGAATCTCCTCCAGGGAAGGTCACCTGGAACCAGATGGCAAAACCATGCATGGGCGCCGAGCCATAACAGCTGCAACGGAAGCGCCCGCCCACCCCGGCCTCCAGCTCCTGCTCCAGGCCGGCGCGGGCCAGCTCGAGCTGAGCAAAACGCTGTGGCCGGGCCAGCACGTCCTCGCCGGACAGACCCTGCACCACGATCTCCGAGTGACTCATGAGGCAGCGTGTGGCGAAACTCTCTAGGCAACTCATGTCCACGCCATAGTGCTGCTTCACCTGGCTCCAAAAGCCTAGGCGCCACTCCAGCATCTGGTCGCTAATGGGGGCTACGAAGAGCTCAGCGGAAGCCGGTAGAAGAATACCGCCCTCCTTCAGCCACTTGGTCCGCGCGTGCAGCACAGAGCTCAGCATGGACTCGTGCAGAAGTCCATAGCCCATCCACTCGCTCACGATGGCATCCACCTGCTCTGGCAACTCCACGGTCTCCACCGGACCCGGCAGGACGTGCACTCGGTCCTCCAGCCCGTTGAGCCGCACTACCTCCCGGGCCTGTTGCCAAATGGCGCTGGCCTCCACCGCGTACACGCGCCGGGCCCCGGCCTGGGCACAGAAGATGCTCAAAATGCCGGTGCCTGCACCCACGTCCAACACGGTCTTGCCTCGCAGAGCTGCCCAGTTCCGCAGGATACCCAGGCGGTAGGCATCGGTGCGGACGCGGTCGGCGATCATCTCCTCGTGGACCGACACGTCCGAGTAGCACTCGTAGTACAGCTGGTCCCGCTCGCGCTTAGTCCTCCGGGGTCGTGGCACGGCCACCTCCTGCTCCCCGCCATCTTCCTCTTCAGTTCCCTCCCCTCCTTCGCCGCCGCCCCCCGACTCAAGCTTTCTCTTCTTAGTCTGCGACATCTTGGCGGCTGCAGCCGGCTCCCGGCRGGCTTTGCGAGGCGCGGCGCGGCTGGGAGCCCGAGGCTTCTGGGACTTGTAGTTCCCGCCCGCTTTCCTGCTTCCTGCGGGGCGCCCAGCGTTGGCCTGAGCTAGCTCTCCTGCCGGCGTYCTGCCGCTTTTAAGTCCTGACAACGCCTTTCCCACCCACCACACCCGGGTTTTGCGATTATTTGAATTCACCCTCCTTCTCTTAATCCTTCAGTTCTATTTTGCTTTCACTCCCCTCCCGAAGTAGACACGCCCACTTAAGACTAGAAATTCACCATTGTTTCTGTGCTCAATTCACTGTTTTTTTTTTTTTTTTTCTTCTACCGATTTAAGGCTGCACTGCCGGCGTCCTACCACTTTGCCTAGACAGCTGTGATTCTTCAAGTTCTCCAGCGTAGAAGTTAGAAATTGTCTTWCGCATTCCTCTCTTTGGTTTTCAGTGGAGTTAGGCTTCAAAGAAGGTGTAAATAGACTTAGTGAAAACCTAACTTTGTAAAACCTTTGTAATTCTAGTGCGACCACTAATCTACTGAATGGTTTAGGTCTAGTAATGGAACCCTATGGCTTTCAATTTTTCAACCATCCCCGAGCAACAAAGGCATGAATCTTCCTTCCACCTGAAGAAGGGTTGTATTTCTGATCTCTCTTCTATTTCAGGAGAATAGTTGCTTGGCTCACGGAACTGCTCTGGTAATCCTGTGGCTAATTTGGGGGTTAAATCCCAGAAGGACGCCCACTAAACAGTTAAAAAGCAACAGTGGTATAATACGGTCAAACCCATTGCCAGTGTATTCTGTGACCAATTTTATTTATATATATGTGTATGTGTGTGTATACATATTCATATGTGTGTGTGTGTATGTGTATGTGTATGTGTGTGTGTGTGTATGTGTGTGTGTGTGTGTGTGTGTGTGTATATATATATATATATACACACACACATATATATATATGTATATATGTATATATATATATATATATATATATATCCCAGATATCAAAATCCTTCACTTCTTTTGCTCACTTTTCCACTGCACTTCGTTCCCCCTGTGTCTCCTTGTATAAACAAGATTGCACACATTTATTCCTCTTCTATTTTGCTTTCAGTCAACCTTCAGATGTGAATCTCTTCTTTCATTGTTGCTCATAATGGGAATAAAATATATTTTAAGTATATGAGTGGCCGTGTTTTTAATAAGATGACAATAACATTATCTCCCAGCTTAAAAAAAAATAATTAYACAGAAGGAAATGAGCTTTTATTTTCTTGTGGTCTCAAAATATATAATTGTTTAACTGATGGGTATATACTGTTCTTTGAGGGAAGAATTCCTTCACCCCATTCTGTTGTTCTTTCATTAACAGAATAGTGTTATTGATGTGGCATCCTCAGCTATACTTCTAATTCAGGACTTTCAATCCTGGCTGCTCATTATAATTCTCTAAGGAGGGGCTTGCCTAGCACTTGTGAGGTACTGGGTTTCATCCCAAGCACCACATAAAACTACATAAACAAAGATATTGTTTAATAATAATATTAATTCTCTAAGGAGCTTAAAAAAAAAAAAAAAAAAAAAAACACCAACTATGGCTGGCTGGCCTAGTGTGCAGGCCTGTAATCCCATCTACTCTGGAAGCTGAGTTGGAAGATCCCAAGTTCAAGGCCATCAATTTAGGGAGACCCTGTCTCAAAATAAAATAAAAACTTTAAAAAAGAGCTGGCGGGTGTAGTTCGATGGTAGAACTTTTGTCTAGTATGAGGCAGTTCTTGGGCTCAATCCCCAGCACCACAAAACAATTTATGCCTGAGTCCACCTTAGACCAATTAAATCAGATACTCCACAAATGATCTTAGTTAATTTCCTTCATTGTTTTCATTGGGTAAGTTAAGGTTTTTTGGTGGCCTGGGCTCATCCATTTAAGACCCAAAACTCTTAAAGCTAGTTCTTTTTCTTTCTACCCTGGTTAAATACCTTATTTTAAGAAATTAGAGGCCCAGAGAAGAACATGGGATTTGAGTTATAGAGGTGAAAGATTATTTTTACCCTGTTACTTTGTGTATATGTCTCCCATTCTTTCTGCAGAGTATAATTTTTCCCCTTCAGTGTTATCTTTCCCTTTTTATGTGTTCACTTATCCACCAATTTTTTATTAACTTCCTTGTGGCCTCTTAAGAAAATTCTAAATTTGCTTTGTTTGTTCTAACTCCCAAATACATCTCAAGTTCAACTGCGTTTGTCTCYAGCCAACACCTAATTCCATTGTTCCATTGGTTCTTCCCTGGAGATCAGTCTCCCAAAGGGACCTTTGAGCCTCTAATCCCTGTCTAATCCCTTCTCCACAGAGCTGCAAGCATGAGATTTTAAAAACCCATATTGGATCACCTCATTCTCCAATAACTTTCCCTTCCAGTTAATAGAACAATCCAGTAATTTCAAGTAACTTCCTATTTCATCTTATATCAGTGTTCCCAACTTCACACTGTGATTGAGATACAGTAGTCTTCTCATACCACATCTTTCCTGCATGAGGTCTTCACTTAGGCATGTCCAGTGCTTGGAAAATTATTTTTCTCCCTTTAGAATTTTACTTTAATGGGCTTTTCTCTTCCTTCAGGTATCATTTAAAATGTTGTCTCCTAATAACAGCCTTCCCTGGTTACTTGAAGTAATTAATACTTTCTAATCCAAAACACTATTTTTTTCCTGCATAGCTTCATAGCTTTTGTTATTATCTGTGTGTGTTTAATTAACTTGATCTTTATAGGTTAGGAGACTTGGATTCCTATTTCCCCACTCTTGCACTAGAAGAAGGCCTGGTATCTAGAAAATACCTATAAATAGTCTTGAATGAAGACTATTGTGGATACATAAATCATTATTCGTGGAGGAATGATTAGAGTCCTGCTTTTTTTTTTTAAAAAAAGAATGCAATGTGATTCTGGTAAACTGAGATAAATTTCAGTATAGATTGAATTTGGGATTATCCTAGAAATGAGAATAGTTTCATTTTCCAAAAATACTGCTAGATAAAATACTTGTTACAGTCAAAACATATCTAGAACAGAGAAGAAAAGCCCCATGGYACTCTACTGTCTCATACTTTGGACTGATATAGAGAAGTTCACTACTGATTTGTTCTACCACACTGTGTAGTTTTAAGTAGGAGAGTGACCTACAGAAGAGTTCTGTAAGTACTGCCGTTCAGCAACAAATCACCTGGATGGGAGAAGAGTTGTACCTATTCTGGCAGCTGGCTTCCACTTCAGTGGTCTATTCAACATTATCTATTCAATGTTCAAATCAATGTTTTTCCGACAAATGGGTCTTGAAATTGATTCGGTACACCTTGACCAGCAATAAAGAGGATGAAATAGATCAGAAAATATCAAATATATCAAATGAGAAAAGGTAGGTATGATTCATAAAATTTGTTTCAGTTAAATATATGTGTATTTCTTGCTGCACTTTTTTTTGTTTTGTTTTGTTTTGTTTTGTTTTTTGGAACCAGGGATTGAACCCAGGGGCACTCAACAACTCAGCCACGTTCCCAAACAATTTTTATTTTTTATTTTGAGACAGGGTCTCGCTAAATCGCTTAGGGCTTGCTAAGGAGCTGAGGCTTGCTTTGAACTTGTGTTTCTCCTGCCTCAGCCTTCTGAGTTTTGGGATAATAGGAGTGGGCCACTGCACCTGGCTTGCACGTTTTGGTTAAAAACTTTTAAAATCCACAGTTTACTCTCTTTCAAAAATACTGTGCTATTTGACATTTTTGTGCCTTTGCCTTGGGTACCTGTACTGTTTTGTCCTCTCCCTCTTCATTTTAGTAATGCTCACACGTAGTGTATTTGTAGCTTTTTCAACCAGTATGTGGCCTCAGAATACTTATTACAACCCTTTTTTCACTTATCCTAGTATCAGCGCTATTTACATGCTAGGCTTTCCCATTCTAATATGTGGACATTTGAACACCAAGAYTTTGCATTTTTCACTTTTATATTAACTGTTCTTCAGTCTGAACCATTTTCACATTTCAGGTTGTTAATTCTGGAATCAAGGGATCATAGATGCATTTTTATATGACCAGGAGAAGCATGATCAATTTTCTGCATCCCATACATTCATTCATTTGTTCAATCATTCATTTCCCCAACAAACATTCTGGACTTCTATCCTGCACTAAATATTACTCTGAACACATGGATCATAACAAAAGGAAAAATTTCTTCCCCTCAAAAGTTTATATTTTTGTGTTAATGTTATCTATTATTATTATTATACTTTCTTACTAGTTAATTATTTACCACTGAAATCTCACCTCTTATATTTATTATTTATCTTGGCTTTGCTGATATGATTTCTTTCCACAAAAAACTATTTCTAATTTCTCTTTAATTTGAAGATCTGTTGTTTAAAATTGTATTTAAAGCCTAGTGTAAAGATTAAGGATTTTTCCTTCAGGATTTAAAGAATTCATTGTAATCCTCAAAGTGTGTATAGAGGAAGGGTAAAGGAGCAATGGCATGAGAAATGTTATAAATATTTCTTTGATATGAATATTCATTAAATGATGTAGTTCTTGCCATYCTGCAGTTACAAGGAAGCTGCAGAAAAAGAAAGAGGTATTTCTATCAAGAAAAAAAAAATCTCTGTAGAAAATAAAGACAAAAGGTGATGATTTTTGTATTTAAACAGATTGGAATATCAAACATAAAAACCTATGTATGTTATGTTCTTGATATATATGATATCTTTTAGATTTGCAGTGTACTGACCCAGCTATTAAACCTAGTGATAAAACAGATAAATTGTAAATTCATAGCTCCCTGATGCTATTATTTTGATATAATTCTTTTTTTTAAATGTTTTTATTGAATTTTTTAGATAGTGATAACAGGGATATTTTTGAGAGCCACAGTTTAGTCAGAATGATGCTTGGCATTTTGGCCAGAGGGAATGGTTGAAAGGTGACCCTGCTCTGGGATTAGGGCGGGTCCTGCTGGGAATAGGGCGGGCTCCAGGATTAGGGCGGATCCTGCTGGGATTAGGGCAGATCCTGCTGCCTCAGGCGCCTGCTACTTTGGAGTTCTGGGTGGGGCGGGGGTTTGAGAGAATTGGCGCACAGAGCCGGTGGAGGCAGTGTGTTCCCGRAAAGTGTGTGTAGAKKGCCRGTGAGAGTTCGGGAATAAAGGTTGCTGTTTGAACCTACAAGGCTGTGTGGCGGCTGGGTTATTTT